ATTTCGGGACACACCGCTTCGCCGCGCCAAATGCGCGATCCGCAAGCGCGGCGCTTTTCTGCCCAGGGCACTTCTGTTTATGCGGGAAGACGCTGTTCGCGCGCTGCTGTATCTAGCAATAGAGCGTCGCGAGTTCGCCGTCTTCGCGCAGCTTTTCCTTGTCGCGCACGTATTTCTCTTACGCCTCCCGACGGAGGCCTTGGGCATTTCGTTCGACGGCGTCGCCTTTCGACGGGGCGCAGGGGCCTCCCTCATTCTGTTCGACGGCCTCCTGCAATTCAATTTGGGCGCTGGTGTGCGCGCTGCACCACGATGTGCCTAGTCCACGCGCTCGGCGCACCGTTCGCGGACCTGCGCGTGGGCACCAGGCAATTCACGGGCATTAGCGCGGCGAGCGCGCTGAGCATGCTGCGCTTTTCCCCCGGCCAGCTCGGCGTCAAAGACGCGGCGCTCTATCGCACTCATGACTTGAGGCGCGGCCACGCGTTGGATCTTCAGCAGAGGAGAGGCACCCTGCGCGAGATCCTGCATGCGGGAAAACGGTCCTCGCCCGCGTTCCTGTCGCACCTCGACGCGACGCAATTGAGGCTCGGCGCCGTGGTCGAAGCGCACCTGGCCGAGTCTGAGAAATATTTGGGCTTGGCACCGGCGACCTAGGCGTCGCGCGCTGCCCTCGCGCGCGTATTTCTCGTCTTTGTGCGTTGCGTCCGCGCGGCGCCGCCGCGCGCGTCGCCCGTTTTCGCAAGGGGCGCGCGCGCGCCGCGCGCGTCGCCGCCGCACGTTGCAACAGTGAGCATCGGCAAGGGGCACTTGCATCCCTGGCGCCCCGCGCGGCGGCTCAGACTGGCACCGCCAGGCTGGGCGGCGCGGGGGGCGCCGCGCCCCTTGTCGAGTGGGCGCGGGCACCCCTGGGTGCGTGAGGCTGTTGGCGCAGCTGAAATTTGTGGTGGGCGCACAGCGCCATCGAAAGCGCGCGCGCTCGCTTGTGCTGCATTGTGCGCGGGCGCAGATTTCGCGCCCGCGCCTGGCCCGCGCGCGGGCGCGCGAGCAGCGCGCGCGGGCCGCCCCCCGCTTCCTTGCGCCTCGCGGCGCGCGGCCCCGCGCGAAGGGCCCGCGCGCGCGAGGGGGGGGGTGCGACTGCGCGTGCGTGGCTGCGTGCAGCCCCGCGAGAAAGGACCAACCACCGCGCGCACGGGGCAGCGTTTATGCTTATGCTCGCATCGCGATGCGCGCCCCGTGCAGGCGCGCCGCGGGGATCGCGTCGGGGCGGATCGCGGCGCGCCTCGGGGTCGCGCGGTTTGCCGGCGCTGGTGCTTGCATCTTGCAGGCGTCTGCGCTTGCGCCCCGCCGTTGCGGACGGCGCGCGCTTTTGCCCCGCCCCCCCCGCTCCCGGGGGCACTTGCATCCCTGGCGCCCCGCGCGGCGGCTCAGTCTCGGCGGCGCGGGGGGTGCCGCGCCCCTTGTCAAGTGGGCGCGGGCGCCTCTGGTTGCGGGAGGCTGCGGCGCAGCTGAAATTTACGGGCGCGGGTGGGGTCTCCCCAAGAGGCCGCGGTCTCGCAAACAGTCGCACCGTGCAGAGGTCTGGAGCCAGACCCCGACCCTTCCCCCCCGCTTGCCGCCCAGTGTCGAAACGGCGTGTGTGTTTTTATTTTAAAAAACAACAACGTTCACCAGGCTCGAAGAGCAAACGGCACGAGCATTAAGTCGGGCGTGTCCCCCTACAGGAGGAATATTCCAGAATGGTCAAACGATAAACGGCTGACGTTTTTCGACCAAGCTTGAACATGTTTGAGCATGCTTGGCTATTTCAATTTCCAACCCTCCTTGGTTGGGTATTCGTTTTGAATAGAGCAGTGTGGTCTCCACTCCTTCCTCCTCCTCCCTCCCTCCCTGCCTCTTCCTGTCTTGCCTGCGGGGGGCTGCGATCTGTGAAACTGTCGCCATTTTCGAGGCCTGCTGGGGGGCCCAGCACAGTGAGGGCGACGCGCAGATTCAAATTAGACCTCGCCATCCCTGGGGGGCTGCGATCTGTGAAACTGTCGCCATTTTCGAGGCCTGCTGGGGGGCCCAGCACAGTGAGGGCCACGCGCAGATTCAAATTAGACCTCGCCATCCCTGGGGGGCTGCGATCTGTGAAACTGTCGCCATTTTCGAGGCCTGCTGGGGGGCTCAGCACAGTGAGGGCGACGCGCAGATTCAAATTAGACCTCGCCATCCCTGGGGGGCTGCGATCTGTGAAACTGTCGCCATTTTCGAGGCCTGCTGGGGGGCCCAGCACAGTGAGGGCCACGCGCAGATTCAAATTAGACCTCGCCATCCCTGGGGGGCTGCGATCTGTGAAACTGTCGCCATTTTCGAGGCCTGCTGGGGGGCCCAGCACAGTGAGGGCGACGCGCGGATTCAAATTAGACCTCGCCATCCCTGGGGGGCTGCGATCTGTGAAACTGTCGCCATTTTCGAGGCCTGCTGGGGGGCCCAGCACAGTGAGGGCCACGGGCAGATTCAAATTAGACCTCGCCCTCCCTGGGGGGGGCTGCGATCTGTGAAACTGTCGCCATTTTCGAGGCCTGCTGGGGGGCCCAGCGCAGTGAGGGCGACGCGCAGATTCAAATGAGACCTCGCCTTTGGTGGGTGGCTGCGATCTGTGAAACTGTCTCCATTTTCGAGGCCTGCTGGGGGGCCCAGCACAGTGACGCCACGGGCAGATTCAAATTAGACCTCGCCATCCCTGGGGGGCTGCGATCTGCGAAACTGTCGCCATTTTCGAGGCCTGCTGGGGGGGCCCAGCACAGTGAGGGCGACGCGGAGATAATTAGACCTCGCCATCCCTGCGGGGCTGCGATCCGTGAAACTGTCGCCATTTTCGAGGCCTGCTGGGGGGCCCAGCACAGTGAGGGCGACGCGCAGATTCGAATTAGACCTCGCCCTCCCTGGGGGGCCGCGATCTGTGAAACTGTCGCCATTTTCGAGTCCTGCTGGGGGGCCCAGCACAGTGAGGGCAACGGGCAGATTCAAATTAGACCTCGCCATCCCTGGGGGGGCTGCGATCTGTGAAACTGTCGCCATTTTCGAGGCCTGCTGGGGGGCCCAGCACAGTGACGCCACGGGCAGATTCAAATGAGACCTCGCCATCCCTCGGGGGGTGCGATCTGTGAAACTGTCGCCATTTTCGAGGCCTGCTGGGGTGCCCAGCACAGTGAGGGCCACGGGCAGATTCAAATTAGACCTCACCATCCCTGGGGGGGCTGCGATCTGTGAAACTGTCGCCATTTTCGAGGCCTGCTGGGGGGCTCAGCACAGTGAGGGCGACGCGCAGATTCAAATTAGACCTCGCCATCCTGGGGGGGCTGCGATCTGTGAAACTGTCGCCACTTTCGAGGCCTGCTGGGGGGCCCAGCACAGTGACGCCACGCGCGGACCCAAATGAGACCTCGCCATCCCTGCGGGGCTGCGATCTGTACTGTCGCCACGCTCGAGGCCTGCTGTGATCCCCGTTTTCGAAGTGGCTAGGAGTGCTCAGGAATTGTAACTCATGAGCTTTATCAAGCCCTTTTCCTGTAGCCAGTGTCCTGCGAGTCTCCCGAATTCCGTTTGCAGACATATGTATCCCTGGCTCCGTCATGGCCCCCTCATAAAGTATCCTAAACTATTTGCGCCCCGCTCTTGCGCAGGGGTTAGGTACGTCGCCAGGGTATTTTTCTCTCCAAATCCCACCTGTAGGGGGACATGCCCGACCTAACGCGAGCATGCATCTTCGGAGGTCCGCGCGTACTTCTGGGATCGACGCCTGGGGCACGCCCCCCAGCGCCGCCCCTGGCGCGCTCCGCGCGCCAGGGAGGGGGCTTTCATTACCGCGACAGTCAAGACGCTGAAGTAAGGGTCACTTCGGGCTTCAATGGGTCTCTGATGTTCGGGCCGTTCCTTAGGTTCCAGCAGACACTGATCGGATTGGGAGAGTGTGGCTGTCAGAACAGAGGATATCCTCACCTGTAGGCGGCCGAAGGTCTCGTTCATTGCATCTGGATGCTACGGCGGAGGCGACTGTTCAGAAATCATCCCAGGAGGCGCCGGACCCTGGAGGATTTCTTATCCAACAAGGGCGGCGGCGATGTCCATCGTTGATCCACGATTGGAGTTCCGCGGGCTTCCAGACCCTGGATTCCTTATCTCAGGAATCCTTATCCAATGCCCACACCGTATTTTAGATGCCTCGCTGCGCCCGTTTTGAGACGCAACACGCACCGTGTTTAAAGCGTCCGTGTCGACACGTCGCGTGCTGGCTCAGCGTACTGGCCCACGTTTTGGCGAACGTACTTCGTCAGACATACGTGTTCGGTCTACGTGTTGAGCTCCGTGTCGATACGCTACGTGTGGCGTGTTGCGTATCGGGGCGCCCAAGCACAGTATTGTTCATAACCTTCATCCTCCCAACCCCTTCCTCCCAGCACGATAGCCGTTCCCCTCATGGATGTAGGTCGGGCAACCTGTCCCTTGCCGAGCCTTGCCGTGGTCAAAGAAAAGACCTTTTCGTTCCTTGCTCAGCGGTCCTGAGGTTAGCATTAAATCGGGCGTGTCCCTCTACAGGACGAATATTCAAGAGTAGTCCAAAAGTAGTCGGGGGACGATTTGTCGAGCATTCGTGCTAAAAAAAAACGAAGAAATGACTCGTCCAAAATCCGCCTGTAGGGGCACACGTCCGACCTACAGTTAGCACGATGACTGAACCTTCCTCCAGTCTGCTTCCACCATTGTCATCGTCGCCGTCAGCATGTTGAGGGGGACGGAGAATGGCATAACTATAGAAACTCGGAGGTCCGCGCGGATTTCTCGGATTGGCGCTTGACCCCCTCTTTGGCGCACGGAGCGCGCCAGGGGCGGCGCCGCAGGCGCCGCCAGGGGTGCCCAGCGCGGATCCGAGAAATCCGCGCGGACCTCCGAGTTTTTATGTTTATGTCGTTCTTCGTTCCCCGAATGCTCGTCACAATCCTCTTCACCATCCGCAGCCGGTTGGCTCCGGCCAGGGCCGCTCGAGCCCGCGGGACTGGCGGAGGTGGCCGGGCTCGGCCCCGCGCGCCTTCGTTATGCTCGCGAGCGCGCGGGGAGTTGATGGGCTTCACGCGGCAGAGGTGCGCCTTTTGTTATGCTGCTTCTGCTACGGATTCAGATTCATTTCGATATCAATATATATATATATATACATATATATATATTATACACATGTATATGCATGTTTCCTGATTCCACCACGTCCTCCGCCTCTTCCTCCTCGTCTTCACCATCCTCATCCTCCTCCTCATCCTCCTCCTTCTGTGTGAAAAGCCCACATCGTTGGAGACGTGCGTGCTCCTCCTCCTCGTCCTCGTCCTCCTCCCCCTTACTCCTCCTCCTGCTCTCCTCACTCCTCCTGCCGCCACGGGGTGGATCCATGAACTCTTGCGCCAACGGGTGTGGTGGTCATTCTCTTTCTCCTCTTGAAGTTCTCCCCCTTCTCATCCTCTGCTGCAGCCGTCTGGGCTCGTGGCTCAAGAGCAGGGTGCAGACTGCCGCGTGCCCGCGGCGCGCGGCCGCACGGGCAGAGAGGGGAGAGCGGGAGGCGAAGCGGAGCGCCGAAGCCTTAGGGCGAGCGAGGCCGAGCCGATGAGGATTGCCGACCACCCCTTGGCCGGGTGCACCCCATACAGCGGGGGCCCATGCCAGGAAGCACCCTGCTCGCCTCCAGGATGCCCTGGGTTTCATGGGTTTCGATGTTTTCGCTGTGGAAGGCGTGACGTCCCCACACCAAACATCAAACGACGTCCTGGGGTCTCAGGGTTGGGTTTCTTGTGGAAGGTTTCCTGTGGTCGGCCTCTACTGCAGCGAGGCCGAGCCGATGAGGATTGCCGACCACGCGTTGGCGAGGTGGACCCCATACGGTGGGTTTATGTCGTGTCGACGCGGCGCCGACCCCGCCGCGGGTGTTCCATGAAAGGTCGAACGCTGCCCGCTGCCCAGAGTGGGCCGACAGGGAACGAGCTGGCAGTCGAAGTGCCGCCGCTCGTGCACGGCCGAACGCTCCGCGCGGTGTAGGAAGCCAGCGCCGCGGTCGCCAGGGCAGCCGTGCTAGCAATGGGATGCATCGTGAGCCACGCCGCCTCCTCTCCCTCCTCCCCCTCCTCCCCCTCCCTCCTCCTCCCCTCTCCTCATCCTCCTCCTCCTCCTCCTCCTCCTCCTCCTCCGATCCTCCTCCCCTCCTCCCCGTCCTCCTCCTCCTCCTCCCTCCTCCACCCTCTCCTCCTCCTCCTCCTCCTCCCTCTCCTCCCTCCCTCCTCCTCCTCCTCGCCTCCTCCTCCACCTCCTCCCCCTCCTCCTCCTCCGCCTCCTCCTCCTCCTCCTCCCTCCTCCCCTCCCCCCTCCTCCTCCTCCTCCTCCTCCTCCTCCTCCTCCTCCTCCTCCTCCTCCTCCTCCTCCTGCATTTAGCAGACAAATTGCTCCTGCCCTTTGTGTACGCGCAGAGGACCACCGTGGTGCTCGAGCCCACGGGAACCACCAGGTCAAGAGCCTGGCGCTCTGCCGATGCGGCTAGACAGGCCATTTCACTCGGTGAAGCTTGGGTCACTTCAAGTGCTCTCAGACGACAAGTTTTAAAGCCGCTGGTGAGCCTCAGAACAACTGCGGAAGATACTGCAAACAACTGTGGTGAAGGCGATTCGTTGCAGGCTTGGGTCATTTCAGGTGCTCTTAGACGGCAAGTTTTAAGCCGCTGGTGAGCCTCAGAACTGGTGCGGAAGGCACCGCAGACAACTGTGGTGAAGGCGACGACTTGCAGCATTTGTGCACTGTACACTGCATGCGATGCCCGGTGCCCTATGTTTCTGGTTTCGCCTGCGCGCTTCGGCGTACGGCTTAGCGTAGCGCAGCAGAGTGAACCTCAGACACGAGCTGCCATCTGAGAAGGAGGAGGAGGAGGAGGAGGAGGAGGAGGAGGAGGAGGAGCGTGAGGAGGAGGAGGAGGAGGAGGAGGAGGAGGAGGAGGAGGAGGAGGAGGAGGCCTGCGTTGCCATCGGCTCCAGGAGGCGAGCGCCTGGGTTGGCCGGGCGCTTCGCGGGGCGAGCAAAACGCGCCGCGGGGGGCCTTGCAGCTGCCCACGGCGGGGCCTGCAGAGGCCCAGGGCGGCAGCCCACGCCGGGGGCTTCTGGGCAGCGGCGACGATCGCGCCGCCCTCGCGGCGAGGGGGGCCGAGGGGTGAAGGGGCGATGGCCAGGGGAACCCTTTGGGGCCTGAAGGGGCCCCTCAGGGGGCCCTTCAGGGGCCCCCGAGGTCCCCTGCAGGGCCCCCTCTCCTGCAACCCTCGAGCCCCACCTAACAACCACCCGAATGTTGTTTCCCACTGCCCTGCCCTAGGGGAACAAAGAGTGGCATAAACATGAACAAACGGAGGTCCGCGCGGATTTCTCAGATCGGCGATGGGGCCTCCCGCATGGGGTCGGAGAAGGCGGGGTCCGAGGATCGCGCCGCACCGCCGATGCATCGGCGATGCGTCGAGGATGCGGCTCGGTGTGGGGCCCGATGTTCTCCACGACGATCGCGGATGTATCGCCGACGTCGCCAGTGCATGGCCGTTGCATCGCTGATGCATCGGCGATGCGGCGAGATCCTCCGACCACATCTACTCGGACCCCATCTAGGAGACCTCTACCTGAGGAGCTCAGGGGGTTCGGGTTTGGGGGCTGAGGGCAGCGAGTCGAGTCGCACTTAAGAGCGGACAACGTCTGCTCAAGGTTGGAAGGCGGGGGATCACAAGCTGCGGGCGGACGGGGAAGGGTTGGGGGGAGGCGACGGCGCTCACCTCAGGAGCTCAGGCCTAGGCTTCCCAGACCGGGTCAGAGCAGACGGGGGGACGATCGCGCCGCATCGCGGGTGCATCGGCGATGCGGCGCGATGTGGAGCCCGATGTTCTCCACGCCGACGTCGCCGATGCATCAGCGATGCGGCGCGATTCTCCGATCCCACCTACTCGGAGCCCATCTGGGAGTGTCAGGGGGGCGGGATCCGGAGGCTGAGGGCAGCGGTCAGGTCGCACGAAAACAACACGAGCTGCTGCACGTGGCTGGTTGCGGCCCCCCGCCGCCAGGCGCCTTCCTCGGCACGTTGGCGCCTCCGACGCCTGAAGGCACCGGAGAAACCAGCTACATGAGCTACATACTGCCACACACACACACTCTTTGCCTCGTTCGTCCGTGCCGAACCCGGGAGGGCAACGAGATGATGCGGCACAATATCGAACATCTGGAGGACATTCGGCCAGCAGATGCAGCGCCTGGGCTGCCATGGCAGCGTGACCAGCAGATTCGCATCCAAGCTGCTGGTGCAGAATCGATATATCACTCCCCCGTTAAAACGAGTGGGTAAAGAGTGCGAAACTAAGGCTGGCATCCCGGATATCACCTCCGTGGCTCAAGGATTTCACCTTTCAGTGCCGCGTTCGCCTTGCCACGCATTGCCCTAAGCTGCGTAGAATAAGAAACATAAGAAGAATAATGACATGAATGGGCGCAAGAGTGCAGACTGCTCAGCGACAGCAGGTGAGGAAAGCTGGTCGATGATTAAGGCTGCGGGGAAACGTGACAGTGCATGCGAGGGAGTGGGCATTCCAGGAGATCCCATGAAAGTAAGGCACAGCACGATGTCCTAGATCGACGGCTGAGAGCGCGGCTCTTACTGTCCCCTGTCGACTGGCATGCCCCAGAGGCGCATGCATTTAGCCGAGCAAAATAAAGCTTCTGGATGCGGTGCCAACGCTTGGGCTTTAGCCGACGCGCTTTCCGATACGAGTCAACTATCAGACAGGCGGGTCGAGAATAGTACAGAGACTCACGTCACAACTGTCAGGGTGTGGTTACTCGCGTGCATGGCCTTTTTGTTGTTTGGGGAAGCTATTGTGGTTTGGCAGTTGCTTGTTGGGCGGCAGCTTCGCCGAGAGGACCACAGCATGGGAAGACCAGGGCATGCACGACGCCTCCCGTGGGGCAGTCCTGGGGCTGTCTTGGGGGTGCTGAAGACCACGACCAGGAGTTACGGCATCTCCGAGCCGACCTTGCTGGTACTTGCTCCCGGCACCTCTAGGAGGCGCCATGCGCGCGCGGACCAGCAGAACCGCAAGAAGCATTTCGGCATCCGCCCCCCCCCGGCGCTATTAGTGGTGCTCACCAACAAATTCATTCCCGAGGGGGAGGGGACCGCCGAGCGAAGCCTCTTAGCACCCGTCATCATAATCCGGTGAACAGTTCCGTGGGGGGGGTGGCAGAGGGAGCAAGAGGCGCAGAAGAGGAATCCTTAGTGCGTCTTCGTGTCGGGTTTTCATGTGGAGGTCTTCTGGGGGAGTGATGTGGGAGGACTCCTATAGGAGAGTCCTATGGGGGGAGGTCCGATGGGGGAGCCCAAACTAATTCCGTATCGATAGGAAGTCCTATGAGGGAGGCTTGGTTTTTTGAGGAGCATTATGGGCAAGTTCCAGGGGGGAAATCCGACAGGGACTCCAATAGTGGACTCTTCTAGGGGTTCACATGGTGGAACCCTACAGGGATCCGATCCTATTGGGATACTTTTTGAACCCTATTGGAATCCGGTTGGGACCTTCTTAGGTTCATGTTGCAACCTCGTAGGCTCTCATTGGAGCTCTATTGGGGTCTTGTTGGGACCCTGTTGAGTTCTTGGTGGGATCCCGCACTGAGGCGCGGTATCACCTCCAGGCGGCGAGAAGCGATACAGCTTCGCTGAAAAGGGGTGTGGGGTGGGGGGGTGATTATTGCTTCTTGCCTGTATACATAGTTTCTGGACCTCTTACGTGAGATTCTAGCACGCTGTCGCTCCGCTGGGCCGGCGATAGATGTTTCTGATCCCCATGCGAAGCACTCACAGATGCAGACTGAGCGTTGTCGAAGCGGGATCTTGAGTGGAGTGCGGGGCTTCGGAGCTGCCTGGAAAAAGACAACACGCCCTCCTCATTTATCGTGCGCCCCCCTCCACCTCCCCCTCCTCATCCTCATTGTCGTCGTCCTTCCCGACCTTCTCCTTCTCATCCTTCTCCTCCTGCGCGGCCCCGGGGGTCCCGAGTCCGAAGGGACCCCCTGGGCACTCGGAGCACACCTCCTCATCTTCCTTCTCCTCTTTCTTCCCCTCCCTCTACTCCCCCTCCTCTCCCCTCTTCCTCCCCAGACTTCCTCTGCCCTTAGCGCTCTTAGCGCCTTGCACTGGGAACCGTACCTTGATACGAATCTGGGGCATTTTGGTATCATGCCTCATTCTCCTAGTGGCCGGTGTTTGTTTACTCTTGGTTTGTCCAGGGGGTTCAAGCAGTCGATGCACGTGACAACCTTTCTTGGCAAACAAGCTGCCCACTCTCCCTCCTCGTTCCTCCTCTCCCTCCTTCCGCCTGTGCCTTCGCCAACCAAGACATGACAGAGTAATCGGAGCAGGCAGCGCGTGTAGTGCTCTGCACTCGCGGAACCACAGAGATTCTGCACAAAACGATGTGGGCAATTCTTGGCCGCTTCAAGCCCACAAACTGCACGTCGGAGATTCTCACGTTTGACCGGCGTTTTACTTCCATTTCCTGCGTGCCATGGGCTCAGCCACGCTTAACTCCGTCATCAGAGGTGCTTTGTCATAGTGCCGTTTGCTCTCTCCTTCACCACCCACCAAACCAGCCCAGCCCAACCCGAAGGCCTCAATTTGCCCTCCATTTCCAGTGGGCGGGGTCGGGGAACATTGACAAAAACACATGGAACCTGCACCCCCCCCAACCCGAAATTCGGGCTTTTGGGTTGGGTTAGGGTGGTCTGGTAGGCAGTCACTCCTTCCCTTCTAGACGAATACATTGAGGCTCCTGACATAAGGTCCAGTTCGGGTTTCGGAAGGGGCTCCGTGGTTCCTTGGGTCTGCTGGCGTTTTGTTTGATCACTTTGATTATGAGGCTTCGTTCCATATTTAGCGTTCCTTCTGACATGGGCCCGACTGTAATCCTTTGCATCTGCGGCCCCAGATCCCCCGATCCCTTCCCCGGGGGGCAGGCCTGCGCTCCCCAGGGCCCCCGAGCGGTTCCCAGAGGCCAAGGTCCAGCAAGAGCGCCGAAATGGGAACAACACACGCACACCGTCGGAGATTTGTCTCCTCCTCCCACCTCCCCCTCCCCCTCCTCCTCCTCCTCCTCCTCCTCCTCCTCCTCCTCCTCCTCCTCCTCCTCCGCCTCCTCCTCCTCCGCCTCCTCTCCTGCGTCTCCTCCTGCGTCTCCCCTCCTCCTCCTTCTCCTCCTCTCCTCCTCCTCATCCTTCTCCTCCGCCTCCTCCTCCTCCTCCTTCTCCTCCTCCGCCTCCTCCTCCTCCTCCGCCTCCTCCTTCCCCACCGCCACTGCAGGGCACCGACTCCGGCGTGGACGAGGAGGCGGCCCTGGGGTCCAGGCCCGGGGCCCCGCGCCAGAGGCCTCGGCTGCCGCAGCGGCGGCCCGCGGCGGCCGGGCGGACGGCGGCAGCCCTGGTGGTCAGGGGCAACGTTTCAGTAGGCGGCGGAACTTCGCCGAGGGCGAGCCGCAAGGCCTCCTCCTCCTCCTCCTCCTCCTCCTCCTCCTCCTCCGCCTCCTCCTCGTCCTCCTCGCCCTCCTCCTCCTCGTCCTCCTCGCCCTCCTCCTCCTCCTCCTCCTCCTCCTCCTCCTCCTCCTCCTCCTCGCTGCCCCCGTAGGCAGGCACGCCGCCGCGCTCCACTCTCGCAGGCCTCCCCCGCCAGCTTTTCCGCCAGAGGGCGAGCCGCGAGGCGAGGCCCCCTTTCGGACGAAGAGCGCACGACCAAGCGGCGAGCGAGGGGGGGGAGTGAGAAGGAGGAGGCCTCCTCAGCGGGCGGCGGGGCGTCGCAGAGGGAAGCACGACTCGGCGGCGAGCGAGGGGAGGGAAGCGAGAAGGAGGAGGCCTCCTCAGCAGGCGGCGGGGCCTCGCAGATGGCCTCCCGCCTTCTGAGAGGTGTTCTGCAGCTTCGGGGAGGGCTCAGAAAACTTCTCGCAAGGGCTGCCAGAGGACTTCGAGCCTTCTGAGAAGGCCCGCCCGCCTTCACCTCCCCGCACCCAGGCGCGCCGCCGACGCTCAAAGTAATGTCGCGTAACAGAAACGTAAGAGGCCGGTGCTCCGCGCGGATATCTGGGATCGGCGATGGGCCCCCTTTGCCTGGCGCGCGGAGCGCGGCGGGGGCGGCGCCGGCGAATGCCTCCAAGATTAAGAATTGCGACGCGGAAGCACCGAGGGACACGGTTACGCCACTGGGCCCGAAGGAATTCAACCTTGAGCGATCGGGGCCGCGATCGGTTCAAGGTCGAACGTTGGACGCGGAGACAAAGACTTTTTCGCGCGCCGACGCCACACGAACCCACCGTATGTTGGGGTACAGTACACGTTTGCACGCGCACCGAAGCGGAAATCATCTTGCAAGCGGGTCGGCTTCCCACGAAAATCTCGTGTATCCGAATGGGCCTTCAGAGCCCTGGGGCACCTCACGAAGCGCAGTGCCGACGAACGATGTGCCCCTACGTGACTTATAGCAAGATGTCTTACCGTACTGGCCTGCTGCGGGAACACATCGACCCTCAATCGCCCACCGATCGCCGACAGTGGCTTCATAGCCCACCCCGCGACGCAACGTGCTGCTACTGCCATCGGGGGCCCATCGCCGCTCTATCGGCAGCGTATCGCCGATTCCAGCTCGACGTGCCCCCCCCTGAGCGGCCCCTCCCTTTCGGCGCCCCTTGGTTTTCGGGTCGCACGGCTCGGCTTTCCGGGGGTCGCTCCGGACGATCCGGCCCCCCCCCCCCCGGGGCCGCGCTCGGCGAGGCGAAGCTGGTGGAGAGCGTCCCGAGGCTGGAAGGCGGCCGAGATCCGACGAACATCTCCGACGACCTCGAAGATCGCCCGAAAACCCCCCTCGAGCCCCCCACCCTCCTCCTCCTCCTCCTCCTCCTCCTCCTCCTCCTCCTTTTCCTTATCCTCCTCTTCCTCCTCCTCCTCCTCCTCCTCCTCCTCCTCCTCCCTCCTTCTCCTCCTCCTCCCCCTCCTCTTACTCCCATCGTTTCGTCAGGTGGTCGCGTGCGCTGGCGCCGCCGCGGCGGCCGCCGCGCTCTGGCGCGGAGCGCCCGCCGCGGCGCGGGGCGGCATTCGGGAGGCCAGGGCTGGGCGTCCTATACAGCCGGGGCGTTGGTCAAGGAACGTGCCCAGGAGGCGTCAGACCTGGAGGGTTGCTTATCTGACGATTCACGGCGAGCGAGGGGGGAAGTGAGAAGGAGAAGGCCTTCTCAGAAGGCGGTGGGGCTTCTCAGGAGCACACGCGCCTCATGAGAAGTGTTCGGAGTCCTCGGAGAAGGCTTAGAAGCCTTATCAGAAGGCTGAGGGACTTCCGAGCCTTCTGAGAAGGTCCGCCGCGTCTCACTTCTCCCCAGGCTCGACGTCGAGATGAGGGCGGCGATGATGTCCATGGTAAACCCACGATTGGAGTCCCACCGGCTCTGCTTCCTCACCCACTGCCCTCGCCGTATCTCTGAGATTGGAAGCAAACGCCAGAAACCACACAGCCGACGGTGTAGTTTTGTTGGTCCTGGTGTGTCTGTCCCCCTAGGCGGGGCTGGCCGCGCCACGCGCTCGGGGCGTGACCCGTCTCCCTGAGCGGCTCGCTCCCTCCGCCCCCTCGTTCGGCCGTGTCTTTCGCCTCTTCCCCTCCCTCCTGCATGGTGGCACAGTTCGCTTCTTCAACGGTACGGTGGGGGCGTTGGTTAAGGAATGCGCCCAGGAGGCTGCAGACCCTGGAGGATTCCTCATCAGATGAGGGCGGTGGTGATACCCATGCCCCATCCACGATTGGACTTCCACCGGCCTCCAGACCCTGGACTCCTGATCTACAGGTTCCTGGTCCAATGCACCCACCGCATCCCCCTTTGTAGGCCTCTCCGCTATAGCGCAGACGGCCCCTGCCTCGCCGCCGACGCAAAAGGAGTGCCTGCCCCCCCTGCTTCGGAGCCCAGGGCCTGTGGTCGGGCCCCAGTGGCCGTTGGCGGCCTTCGGGGAGGATGGGCAGAAAGAAGAGGAGGAGGAGGAGGAGGAGGAGGAGGAGACGGAGCAGGAGGATGAGGAGGAGGAGGAGGAGGAGGAGGAGGAGGAGGAGGAGGAGGAGATGAGTAGAGGAGGAGAGGGAGGAGGAGGAGGAGGAGGAGGAGGGAGAGAGGAGGAGGAGGAGAGAGGGAGGAGGAGGAGGAGGAGGAGGAGGAGGAGACGGAAGGAGGAGGAGGAGGAGGGAGGAGGAGGAGGAGGAGGGAGGAGGAGGAGGAGGGAGGAGGAGGAGAGGAGGAGGAGGAGGAGGAGGAGGAGGAGAGGAGCAGGAGAGGAGGAGGAGATGGAGCAGGAGGATCGAGGAGGAGGAGGAGGATGAGGAGGAGGAGGAGGAGAGGAGGAGGAAGGAGGAGGAGGATGAGGAGGAGGGGAGGAGGAGGAGGAGGGGGAGGAGGGGAGAGAAGAGAGGAGGAGGAGGAGGAGGAGGAGGAGGAGGAGGAGGAGGAGAGGAGGAGGAGGAGGAGAGGAGAGGAGGAGGAGATGGAGCAGGAGCAGGAGAGGAGGAGGAGGAGGAGGAGGACGGAGGAGGAGGAGGAGGAGGGAGGAGGAGTAGGTAGGAGGAGGAGGAGGAGGAGAAGGAGGAGGAGGAGGAGGAGGAGGAGGAGGAGGAGGAGAGGTGGCAGGAGGAGGAGGAGGAGGAGGAGGAGGAGGAGGATGAGGAGGAGGAGGAGGAGGAGGAGGGGGGGGATTTGTTTACATCAACGGCGCTGCCCACATACACCCTGAGCGATTAGACCTCGCCATCCCTGGGGGGCTGCGATCTGCGAAACTGTCATCACTTTCGAGGGCTGCTGGGGGCCCAGAGGAGTGGGGTCATACGCAGATTCAGACTAGACCTCGCCATCCCTGGGGGGCTGCGATCTGCGAAACTGTCGCCAGTAGAGGGCTGCTGGGGGGCCCAGCGGAGTGGGGTCATACGCAGATTCTGATTAGACCTCGCCATCCCTGGGAGGCTGCGATCTGCGAAACTGTCGCCACTATCGAGGGCTGCTGGGGGGCCCAGCGGAGTGGGGTCATACGCAGATTCTGATTAGACCTCGCCATCCCTGGGGGCTGCGATCTGCGAAACTGTCGCCACTTTCGAGGGCTGCTGGGGGGCCCAGCGGAGTGGGGTCATACGCAGATTCAGATTAGACCTCGCCATCCCTGGGGGGCTGCGATCTGCGAAACTGTCGCCAGTAGAGGGCTGCTGGGGGGGCCCAGCGGAGTGGGGTCATACGCAGATTCTGATTAGACCTCGCCATCCCTGGGGGGCTGCGATCTGCGAAACTGTCACCACTTTCGAGGGCTGCTGGGGGGGGGCAGCGAAGTGGGGTCATACGCAGATTCAGATTAGACCTCGCCATCCCTGGGGGGCTGCGATCTGCGAAACTGTCGCCACTTTCGAGGGCTGCTGGGGGGGCCAGCGGAGTGACGTCATACGCAGATTCAGATTACCCCCCATTCCATCCTTCTCCTGCCCCTCGTTTCTGTCCCTGTTATTCTTGGAACCTGGGGCCTCAATCCTCGTTCTTTCGATCGTCGTCCTGTGAGTCGTGCAACGCATGCGCGTCCAATGTAGTTTGCGCAACAATTCAACGCGTCTACGCTGTCGCTGCTTCTGCTAATGCTTGCCTACTCCTCTTGCCATTTGATGCATATGGGTTGGGCACGTCGCAGGGAAACTTAAACATCAACGGCGCTGCCCACATACACCCTGAGCGCTGGGCGAGGTCGCTCAGAGGCCGCTCCTTGGCGAGACAACTGGGACTGCTGGCTGTCAACTTTCCCTGTGTGCCAGGTCTGCAGAACAGCAACCGGAAATACAAGCGACCGGCGACGAGGAGGATGAGGTGGAGGAGGAGGAGGAGGAGGAGGAGGAGGAGGAGGAGGAGGAGGAGCAGGA